CTGCTGGCCACGCTTCTCCCGATGCAGCCCAGGGTAGGGTTGGCTTCTGGGCTGCCAGCGCCCATGGCCGGCTCATGTCCAGCTTTTCGTCCATCGGTGCCCCCCAGTCCCTCTCGGCAGGGTGCCGAATGGCCTTAGTTTGGGTTGCAAGCAGAGCTTGCTCTGCCCCCGCTGTACGCCGGGCGGTGGGTCTCGGAGCCCAAAGACAACCAAGACATGGCTTTGGGTTTAACCAAATGAAATCTGGAGCAGGAGGAGAAATCCCCCGCGATCTTGAAGATGCTTAAAACCCTCCCATAAGCCCAGGAGCAGTTCTTCAGGGCGAAACAGCAAAAAAAAAAAAAAAAAAAAGGCCTTTTCCCCAAAAACTCTGCCCCGTTTTGCAGCTCTCCAGGGTGGCGTTTGTGACTCCCCAGCTCTGAGCACGGGGGGAAGCGGAGCTGCTGCTCCCACGGGGCCGACTCGGCCGCTGACGTGCGGCATTTTCAGCAGCATGAAGGAAAGCGGCGCCAAGAACTGTTTGCTAGTACCGCTGTACCTCTCTAAATGTGCTTCCCATCATGGGTAATCTGGTTATTTTAATTGCCGAAGCCATTAGGGCTCTGCAGAGTCTGAAAGGAAGAAAAAAAATCTATGCAATTACCAGCTCCCAAATTGAGTTAAAATCTTGTAATAAATTACAGTGAAGGCTGCTTTCTCCAGTGACTCTCGGAGGCACATTTAATTCCCTGCAGCTCTGCCTGATACGTGCTTCAGGGGAGAAACTCAGTTACAACCAAAAACTTACTTCATTTTAATTGCTGGGCAAATGAAACTGCTGTCACCTCTACTGTCCCCGTGCGTGGGTTTGGCACCTCGGCTTTGCAAGCGGCTTCTTGCATTCTCCTAACGTGTGTGTTACCTATATATTTATTATATCTTCTAAACGCAAGCACAAGTGTACGCTGGCTGATGGTGGCAAACACGGAAATGAGTAAAAATAACATCTCTGTGGATCCCCCTGCCACGGGGCAGGTCGGGTGCGGAGCTGTGGCCATCGCTGCTGCTCTGTTCTCCCGCTTTTACCAGGGCAGTTTGGGGTTTAAAAAGCTCAACCAGGGTTGGTACAAGGGATGGCCTTGGCACGGTCGGGGTGTTCCCCATGGCCCTGTTTGGAAACAAGCCGGAGGGTGACCGCACACTGATGGTGTTCTAAAACCTCTCCAATAAATCACTTTTATCAGAGGGACATTTGATAGGCAAGCCAAGGGTCGTGCCATGAAGCTGTCCCCAAAACACCGCTGTGGCAGTGCCAGGAGCCTGGCGCATCTCTGCTGTGGTCAATCTCTGCAGGTTCAACCACGGCTGCTTATCCTGGTACCGTAGAATCATAGAATCGTTTAGGTTGGAAAGACCTTTAAGATCATCAAGTCCAACCGTTAACCTAACACTGCCATCACTTTCAGTGCTTCGCCGCTGCCCACAAAGACATGAGGTTGTCCCCACAGAGCTGCCAGTGCCCGCCAGCCCCGGCTGTGTCCCTACTGGTAGCTGTTTCTGCTCTTGCAGGGGATGAGGACCCTGTGGAATTCAAGTAGCACCTGGCTTATTCAGATTTCCTGGAAAAAATGCAGATTTCTACACTGGGGTCTCATGCCCAGGAGCCTTTCAGTGCAGAGAACAAGCAGGTCCAATCCTGCCTGGGGGAGCTGGGAGGTGGACAGAGTGAACATCATCTTAATATCCATCTGTCAGGCAACGGCAGATGTTTCCACTAGTTAAAGCCTTTAGAAAACAAAATAACAAGAGGGAGCTTGTTGCTGCATCTGGAGTCGGGATGCAGCAAACCCAGGACCAACAGGGAAAAAGGAATTAGGGACTGATCGCTTGTTTGGGAGGAGGTGGGGTAGAGAACAGGGAAGAACCAAGATGGACGGGGGAAAAGCGGGAAAAATGGAGAGAAGAAGGGCAAAAGGAACTGGTTGTGTTTAAGCAAGCAGCTGGTCTGTGTGCTTGTCTGGGTGACCCTGAGCTAGTACATCCCAGAAAAACCTACTTCAGACTATTTTGCGGGCAGTCTCACCATCCAGCCTGTGCGTGGATGCACAGGATCCACCAGCAATCTTCACATCATGCTGACATGGGTCCTCGGTCCCAGTGGCTCTGGCCATCCCTAGCACGGTGCCTGACTTGAGCTGTCCAAAAAGCAGGTTGTATTTCTCAAGAAGGAGTGCTGGGGTCCCCACAGCACCCGTGGCAGGAGGCACCGCAGTCCTGATGGGTGTCTCAGGTGGCAAAGCCCAGCCCTGGGTGCAGGCACCAGTTGTAGATGTTGTAGAGGGACACGTGCTCGGACATGGCATGGAGATGATTTCTCCAGTGCTCTCACCCAGAGTGACACCAGGAAAGGCAAAACAGAACAGGGAGGTCACACTGAGCTCACATTTCCTGCCCATGCTCTTGTGCAAGTAAAAGAAGTTCCTAAAAGTCTGATTCGAGCCTTTGGCAGGATGGGAACTGCCTGCGGTGGAGAAGAAGCTCCCGTAAGTGCATTTTCTGCTTCTCGCTTGTAGACAAAGCTTCATGAGAAACCTGGAGAGGTTCTCTTTTATTCTTGAAAGTTAGCCAGTGCTCTGTAGGGGTCGGGATTAATTTCTGAGCTCAGCCCACATTGCATTCGTCAGTTCTCTGCTATGAGCTACAGGACGGGGATGTGAATGTCAGTGCCAGCGTGATACAGAGGGGAGAAGACACAGCAGAGGGAGAAAAGGCAGCTTGGTGGGCTGGGAGAGACCCAGAAATGGAAATTTTGGGGATGGCTTGCCCTGATGTGGGTGCAGAGGGGGTGTGTGGGGGGGAAGGTGTTTAGGAATCTCGCTGGGTGTTGCTGTGATCAGAAGGGTGGGCAGTTTTGGTTTCCTCTCCAAGGGGTACAGTCAGAACTGTGTATGGCTGAGGATGAATTTTTTCCAAAATATGAAACAGAAAAAAAAATCCCAGCTCATTCTCAGACAAGTCTTTTTCTGTCACTCTCCTGTGGCAGATTTCTGCTCTCCATGGCTGCTCTGTCTGAAGTGCCCTGCAGCACTCGCCAAAGAACTGTGAGACACCAAGAAAACATTTCAGTGCAGCCCAACCCACATTTTCTTTTCTTTTCTTTTCAGCCAGCTGGAATTACCTGGAATGGGTATTTAAGCAATTTTAGGCACGGGACCGCAACAGGTACGTCCAGAGCTTCACCCCTTATGGCTGCACACCCACAGGCACCCTCAGCACCCCACTCCAAACCCTTGGGTGCTTTGCTTAACCCGCTTGGGATGGAGGGGCTCCCCTTTCCCGGGGTGTTTGTGGGGAGGGAGCTGCCCTTAGAAGCTGCAGAGCCAGCATGGGGGATGTCCTCCTCGGGACAGGTAGCACAACCAGGGACCAGCAGCTTCATTGAAGGTCTCTTGGGCAATGGAAGAAACAGGTCCTCGAGGAGAGCAAGGCTGGAGTGACTGAAGCAGGGAACAACACAACCACAACTGTTTAGGGATTGCTGGAAGAATGAGGCCGGGGGGGGGCGGGGAACGGTGGGCAGCTGTGGCCATGGCTGACAAGCAATGTGTTTTAGGCGTGGAGGAGTATTTGTGCTGTTTTTCCCTATGACATCAGTCTTAATTTTTAAAACCCACAGTAACCTTCGTGGTACTGATGGGAGGTGGCTCAGGCAGTTTCTATCTCGCACCACAGGCAACGGGCTCTTCAGCGATGGCCATTGCTCAGTTTGGGTGGCTTTCAGAAGATAATACCCTTGTAGTGTTCTTGTGCATGGTTTGTTTTTTTTTTTCCTGATAATCAGACTCCAAAAATAGGAAGCTCTTCAAATCAGTCACCGTTTCCTGAAATCTGGACTGCAGCTGCCTAAACACTGACGCCAGCCTGCAGTCCTGGGGAGTGGCTGATCCCATGGCCCTCTCCCTTCTTGGTCAGGATGGTTCCAAGCCATGCCTCATCTCACGCAGGATCAACTCCAGCAACATCCTTCCAGCTAAATCTAACCTCTACCTCTAACCTTGATTCAGGAGTTGATTCTGTTGCCTACATGTCCTTGCCTTGGATGAGGCTTTCAGCAACCTGATCTAGTGGAAGGTTGCTCAAGTGGAAGGGGCGTGGAACTGGGTGATCTTTAAGGTCCCTTCCAACCCAAACCATCCTATGATTCTATGAATCTGTATTTTCCACTTTCTACTATCTTTTACAAGAATGCATGGCTTTGCGTCCTAGAGTTGGCATGGAGAGAGGTCAGTGGCCTACCAGGAGCAGTGAGATGTTCAGCATTTCACCTTCGGTAGCAGCCCCACCAGCATAAAGGTGCTGGTGGCAGGTTCTGCTTCACCAAGAATTGAGATGCCGCTTTCTCAGTAGCAACCCAAGTGAATCCAAAGCAGCTCACAGTGAGGTGTAGTGGTGGATTTCCCATAATCTAGAGCAGGCACTTCCTCAAAACTTGCAGTGGTGTCAGGGGGAAGTTGTGAGTTAGTCAGAGAAGACTGTGGTCATTTACTTTCAAGTTCTAATGCGTTGGAATTACTATTTTTATATATATGTACATATGTGTGTAGACAGCTGTCCCCATGCCATAGGCAAAGGCCAAGGAGAGCAGGACACAAAATACTTTTCAGAAGGTGGCAGAAATTTAAACCTATGAACTAGAGGAAAACCCTCCATGATGTGATGTTGGTCTTTCTTGAGTGGATTGGAACAATGTTTTTATCCCCTTCACTTGTCTTTTGCTCCTAGGCAGCCACTTGTCAAACACAACTTCAAAGGTGGCAACAACAACTGCTGCCACCTTGCTGGATGCTGCCAATTCAAGCGACTACCCGTACGAGTACTTGGACGAGGAGGATTACATGCAGTATGGCCTCTGCACAAAAGAAGAGGTACTCTCCTTTAGCAGAGTGTTCTTGCCATCTTTTTACATCGTGGTCTTCCTGATTGGGTTGGCCGGGAATGTCCTCCTGTTTATTGTCCTCATTATGTACATCAAGAAGAAAAAGAAGATGACTGAGGTGTATCT